TGCTGCTCCTCATGCTCTAGACAAAGAAGGGCCTGGTAACGAGTCGGGTAGTGGTGAGGAGGAGGAGTGGTGTCATGAGATGCAGCAGAAGGAGCGGCTCCTTCCTCGACAGTACCCGGGTGAGCACCCCCAGAGCGAGTACCTCTCGTGGCAGCACGACCAAAACCTGTAGGAGGTGTACTCGCACCTCCAGCCGTGGTGCCTCCAGTGGCACCAGCACCAGCCCCAAACTCACCAACTCGAGAAATACCACCAGCGCCAACACCCCCAGAACGGGCGGCTCCTAGAGGTGCACGAACAGCTCCAACGCCAATACCCCTGGAGCGAGCACCGCCAGAGCCCTCACCTCAAGCACCAACACCCTCAGAGTCCGCAGTGGCCGGTAAAGGAAGCGCTGACGGCTGCTGCGGAGGCTATGAGGACGACTGTGGGGAAGGAGGAGAGACATATGGGGGTACCGAAGGGGGGGGAGTAGCGTGGGACACACCAGACGGAGCGGGAACAGAGGGGGTGGTACCGGAGGAGTAGGGGCGGGAGGAGGAAGAGCTGGAGCCAGGAAGAGGGGAGGGGGGGGAACCGGGAGACCTCGACAGGGGTACCGGACGTAGTAGGGGACGGACTCGTCGAAACAGACGTCACGAGAGTCAAAGAACCAGTGGGAGGGAGGGTGGTAAAAGGTGAAGTCAGAGGAGCCCTCTGGGAAACCAAGGAAGACACAGGGGACAGCGTGAGGCGAGATCTTGTCTGCAGAGGTGTCGCGGACAAGAGCCAAGCAGCCCCAAACACTAAACCTCGACGCAACACCAGGGGACCCTGTCCAAAGACTGGTCGGTGAAGCCCCTGGCCGAGAGACGCGAGGCCAGAGGTTCAGCTGGTGAGCGGCGTACCGAGCCGCGTATGGCCACAGAATATGGGGCGCGCAAGCGTGGATCATGGAGGTGCGGGCGATCTCCATGACCAGGCCTAAGCTGCGCTCAGCAACCCCATTCTGCTGTGGAGAGTCTGGAAGAGTCCAGGACTGGGTGATGCCCTGCTCAGCACAAAATCTGGCGAGAATGCCGAAGCGAAACTCATCCCCACGGTCGGAGTGGAGACATCTGACACGACGACCGCGAGTGCCCTCGGTGGCGAGGAGCCACCGAATCAGCGTAGAAGTCACGTCGGACTTCTTTGCCAAAGGGAACACGGTGGTGTACCGAGAGTAATCGTCAACGACCACCAGAAAGAAACTCTCCCGCGCAGGGCCAAGGCGGGGAGCGGGGCCCCATACGTCTAAGTGGAGTGTCTCGAAGGGCTCGGTGGCCAGACGAAGGGAGGAGTGAGGGGTGGCGCGCAGCCGACCCTGGACTCAAGGACCGCACGGAGGAGCTGGGGACGACGGGAGTGGCGGGAGGACTCGGGGGAGGCCTAAGACAAGACGCTGACTGGATATAGCGCGGAGACGTGGAAGGGAAGGGTGACCAAGGCGGTGGTGCCAGAGGAGGGAGGGGTGGGCAAGCGAACGACACGAACACGACGCAGCAACTACACCTGACACAGCAACCTGACTGGACCCGGCTACCTGGTAGGACGGGGGAACCTGACGGGGGTCGGTGCGGAGGGTGTACAGACCGGAGCCCGGCTCCTGGGGAAAAGTGGCCAAGGGGGCGTACGTGTCACCGTCCACACAGACCGCGGTGTCACCAAAAGGCTCAACCCAGACCCCAACGTGCTGTCTCACCAGGGTGCCCACACGAACCAGGTTCCTAGAGAACGTAGGAACGTGGAGGCCAGTCAGGGAACCGGAAGGAGCAGCTGGGCACGGAAGTGTAGTGGCGTGAGTCGCAATGACTTGTACCGAAGAGGGATCGGCCAGTGCTACAGGGACAGGCGCCGGTAGCGGGGAGAGATTCGTGCAGTCGCGGAAGAAGCAGTGCGACGCTCCTGAGTCCACTGTGAAGGAGAGAGACGCGTCCGCCGAGGAAGGACCTGTACTTGTAGCTAAACAAGATCCTACACTAGCACCTACTCTAGCAACAGGCGAAGATCCTAAGCTAGGTACAGGCGAGTACATAGATCCAGAAGCACTATAGTCAACATTAGCATACATGGCATATTACCTAGCATCATCCATAGTCATATCAAAAACAGCAATACCACGAGCAAGAAGTGTCCCCCAGTGTGGCGGCGGGGGAGCGGAGGGGCCGTGGTGCAAGAGGTAGAGGTCGTCGAGACGACTGAAGCAGCGTGCAGCAGAGTGGTCGGGGAGGCCACAGTACGAGTCCCTATGAGGACCCGTAAGGATCCAGTACTCACAGGGACCAACGTCACGGCCGGCCGAGCGAGGTCCCCAACTGGAGAGGGCGCCACTGCACCCAGTGCTCGAAGGACCCGCAGGCCTCCACTGCTGCTGAGGGCCCCACTGCTGCGGAGGGCCCCACTGCTGAGGCTGCTGCTGTGGCGGGCGCTGCTGCTGGCCCTGTCGCTGCTGTGGCGCGCGCTGCTGCTGGCCCTGTCGCTACTGCTGCTGTCCCTGCCGCTGCTGCTGTCTAGGCGGTGGCAGCTGCTGAGGAGTGGGCTGCTACTGCTGCTGGAACCCCTCACCACCAGTGAAAACTCCACCGTCGAAATGAGGGCCGTCAGGCCCCGAGCCACCCCCACCACTACTCCCACCACCTGCACCACCGCCACCGCCACTACCCGCACCACCTCCAGTACCCCCGCCGCCCTTCCCGCCCCTCTTACCGGCCTTGCCACGTTTCTGCACGCCAGAGACAGAAACAGCCATCGTCTCCTCAGAGGCAAAAGACGTGGGGGTGGCAAGTCAGGCAGTGAAGGTGGGAAGCTGGGATACCGCACACCCCTTAAAAAGACGAGGAGGAGGCGCGGAAGAGGCAGAGGCAACAGTGAGGAGGTTACTCTCGATCTTCTAGAGAGCAGTCTCAAGAAGATCCACAGTAAGCTCACTGGGGTGCTTCAGAAGAAGCGCGTCGCGGGCTGTGGCTAGGCGGTCAGGGAGGCGAGTGACTAGCCAGTGAATAGTGAGCCACATAGGGGGCGGGGCAAGGGCAAGCTGGTCCTCAGTGCAAGCAGCGCGAAAGTGAGTGTCAAGGGAGCGCAGGTGGGTAGCGAGGTCAGAGACAGTCTCAAAGGAGGCGAGGTCAGGGTAGATAAAGGGTACGAGGAGGCGACTGAGCGAAGCAGAGGAGGGAGTGGAGTAGCGAGTAACAATAACGTTATACAAATCTGCAACAGACTCGACCTGAGTGAACTGGACTGCCTCTGTCGGCGGGAGGAGGTCGGTCAGGGCGAGGCAGGCAGCGGCGTCATGAAACTCCCACACGTCGCGAGCGAGGAGCTGGCGCTGGTAGTCGGCCTCCTGCTCAGAAGTAGGCGGTGGGGTAGTGGGCAGCGACTGAGGCTGCGGAGGGGCGGTCTGAGTGCCGGACGCGTGTGCGAATAGGTGCACGCCATCCTGCCGCTGCCTCTTAAGGTGGCGCTGCGCCTGCGTAAGCCACGTACTAAAATCAATAGGTCTCCCTTCAGGGTCAAAGCGTAGTACTCGGGAGGTCACCATAGAGGGCGAAAATGAGAGAGCGCGGCTGCCAGCTGCAGGAGGGGGAGACAGTCAGTAGCGTGTGGGCAGGTGCGCAGGCGTGCAGGTGGGTAGGTGGTGCAGCATGTGGACAAGCGGGCGGCGCAGCGTGCTGGCTGGCGGGCGGCGCGGCGCGCTGGCTAGCGGGTGGCACGTCGGGTCGACGACTGCGCGGCGCGACATGCTGGCGGCGCGACGCGCGGGCCTACGGGCTGCGCGGCGGGTCGACGGGCGGGCGGCGGAGCGGGTCGACAGGCGGGTGGCGCAGCGGGTCGACGGGCAGACGGCGCGACGCGTGGGCCTACGGGTGGCGCGGCAGGTCGACGGGCGGGCTGCGCGGCTGGTCGACGGGCGGGCGGCGCGGTGGGTCGACGGGCGGGCGGCACGGTGCGCTGGCGGGCGAGCCGCGCGGCGGGTCGACGGGCGGGCCGTCCGTGGCGCGCTGGCGTGGCACGCTGGCTTGCACGCTGGCGTGCGTGCTGGCATGCGTACTGGCGTGGCGCGCTGGCGTGCGCGCGGGCTAGGGCGTTTAGGGCAGACGGGGAGGAAAGCGGCGGCCTAAGTCTAAGAACAGCGGAGACTAGGCGGCGGCCTAAGTCTAGGAACGGCGGAGACTAGGCGAGGCCTAGGAACGGCGAACCTACTGCTGATACCATCTTAGAAACTGAAAACAGCGGAATGAGTTGGATTGATTGGGTTGGGGTACAAATGCCTAACCCTTACTGTTTGTACCCCATGTAGCATGACCCACTAGAGGCTATAACATTTGACACTTATGAATACACAGAATACCAAAAATAGTAAATGCTAACATGCAAATGATAATCTTTGCAACGCTGCAATCAGGTTTTGAAATAGTTTTGATAGAGCAGAAAAAGTAGGTGCGTGCGACTTAAAGCCCAAGACCTGAATTACAAAAAAAGAGGGCAAACTGTGCACAGTTAGCCTGCCGCGCCCCAGAGTTTTGCCTGCAGTTGACTTCCGTTGAACAATTCAGGTTTTGGGCTTTAAGGACACTCTAAATCCTTTACACCTACATAACATTACACCGATCTAGTATTTAACAATAATCTTACTAAACTTTGATAACGAATGTACTTGACTTCTCAATAGCGCGACAGAAGACTGGCAGTGGGGTCAAAGCTGCATTCACACCCCAGATTCTCGTCTCTGCACCCAACGTTTTCGTGTCAAAATTTCTTTCCTAGGATGAACGAGGCCTACATTACGAGCTCCGCTTCTCCTGTCTCGCTGCTATGTTGTGCGTCTCGCTTGAGAAGCTATCTGGCGGTGTTTTTACTCGCGCTTGCGTCGTAATCGCGTCGCAAGTGATTTTCTCCTAGGCGTTTAACGGCGATTTCATCTCAGCGACGTCATGACGGTCGCCGACGACGTAACCAGCAAGGCCGGAAATATTTCCAGCAATATGGTTGTTAATGGGTCTACTCTTAACGGAGATCCCTGGGGCCGCTATAACGAGTACGAGCACCAGTACAAGCCTTTCCAGTCCCGCAGCGCCCATCTGAAACAGACGGCTCGTGCGGTCATGGATGCGACGAGGAGCGCGGCGCGAGAGGCGTGGGGAAGAGGCGCAGAAGGATTCAGTGCGGTAGTTGACCGAGCCGTGGGTTGGGCGCGCGAAGGAGGCACGTGGCGGTGGATTGTTCTAGGAACTGTAAGCTGTTCTTTTCAACCTTTTCGAGTGATAATGATTTAGTTATTCGACTCAGTCGCCTGCAAGGAGCCGTTCTTAATTGGTCAGCGGATGAAAGTTTCTCCGTTTTGTTTCCCCAGGGATTGATTTACCTTCTGCCTTCGAATATCTTGTTCCTTTTAGTCCACCCTCGTTCCACAACCTCTGCTCTCCTTTTTCCCCTCCTCCGTCCTCCTTTCTCCAAGCCCTTCCTCATTCCACCGTACCGCCTGAATTATTCTCCTCTGTTCCGTCTGCTCCCGTCTCCCTTGCCCTCTCATCCCCATCGGTACCTCTCTCAACCGTTTACTACCTCCCACCCCGCTCTCACTCCTTGCACCTCTTCCTCACTGCCTCTCTGTCCCTCTCTCTCTCTCTCTGCGTCTCCCCCGGACATCTCCCCGAATTCCCTCACAACAGACCTCAGCGACTCTCCTCTCGCTGCTCGCCTGCACAGCCGTGTCCCTCATCGTCACCGTCGCTCTCACCACTGCTGCGCTCGTCGTCTGCTGCGCCTCTGCCATTGCGGCTGCTGCTCTCTTCCTCTTCCTCATGCTCTTCGGGGTTACTGCTGTGCTCTGTGTTGCTGCGTCTGCTGTCGCCTGCACTGCCATGGTTGTAGCTTCAGTAGCAATCATATGCATTCTCTTTGCTGCTGGTAAGGCTGTCTCTGCTTTTTGTTGTTGTTCTTCCTGCTGTTGTTCATGTTTTTACTATTGCTCCTATAATTATCCTCATCCTCGTTTGTGTTCTTGTCCTTGTTCCGCCCCAACCAATCTCCCCTGTGAGATTTACTCTTATGCCAAGTTCTCTGCCTCCCACAATTCCCCTCTTTTCCACATGCTCTTTTTGCCCTTCTCCTCCCCTCAGGAACGGCCCTGTCAGCATGTGCATGGTGGTGGGTGTTCACACATGTCACCTCTGCCCTGCGCTCTTCTGCTGCTGCCACCAAAAGCTACATCCTGCCTGCTCCCCACACTGCCACCCACACTGGTGCCCGTGCACATGCTCAGAGAATTCCCCTGGTAGCTGGAGCAGCTGCTTCAGAGAAAGGTGTGCCGGCAGCAGTAGTGGGAGAAGAAAACAACGAGACTTCGCCTCCACCTGCAGCAGCAGCAGCAGCAGCAGCAGCAGCAGCAACAGAGGCAGCAACAGAGGCAGCAGTGTCAGCAGGAGCAGCAGGAGCACTTCCGGAAATGCCATTGGGGTTACAGCCAATGTAGCAGCAGCTAGAGTAGCAGAGGGGAAGTTTTTTCCAATGTGGAACACACACAATACAAGTGGCTTGGTTCAATATGGCCATGCACTGATGTAGGGGTAGCAAAGGATAGGTTTGCTGCTACAGTAGAGCTTTGTGTCTGGAAACCTTGGGTATAACATTGTTTCACTATCTTGCTAGGGTCCCTTTGTATATTATATTTAGTGTCCTTTTGTTGTGAATTTTGTCCTAAACTGCTATTCAAGTAGAAAGCTTCAAAGCTGAGTTGAAAACTAAGCCTGTCAATCCGTAGCAGTAGTACACTGCTGCCAGCAAGCCAATTTCCTCCCTAGACGAATAATCAATACCAGCGAATCTGCACTGCAGCCTCTGGAAAATCTAGAGAAGAGCCCTCTACAAGGGAGCTCTATTTAAGAACAAACAAGGAATGTCAACAAGTGGCAATAATTGGTGGGAGTCTGCACGTTGGGTTTGCAAGTTTCCAGGGAATTTCCTAAAGCTGTCAAGGCTAACAGCGGACAGCTTGCTAGGCTCATCAAGGGTCTGCTGGCTTAGTAGCCATATCCAAAACAGCGTCAGCTGGGACCTGAAATCGGAAGCAGTGGTTGTGACAGAGAATTGGGAATTAGATACACTAATTAATGCTACCGAAATTGTAGCACATCATATTGGCGGATGGCGAGCAGCAGCAGCACGGCAGAGACACAGGTGACACCCATGGAGATGGTTGGCAAGCAGCGGAATAAGACATAGAACCAACGGCACACCCACACACTCACACACACCCATACACCATAGCTTCGGGTGTAACTCTCATACCAGCACATTCACAACTCACTGACCAGCAGACGGATGGCGAGCAGCAGCAGCACGGCAGAGACATAGGTGACGCCCATGAAGATGGTTCCAGCGACAGTGTTGGCGCCCAGCTTCGTGTTGTCCTTGTGTGGCACAAACGAGTTCTTGAGCGTGTTGGTCAGCTCAAACAGCCGCAGGGATACCTGGAAAAGCGGGAGCGGAGGAGGGAGGAGAGGTGGGGGGAGAGGGGTGGAGGTGAGGTGGGGGTACAGAGAGGGTCCAGTGTGCTTGGCCATGACTCGGAGTTGTCCTTGCGCGGCACACACGAGTTCTTGAGCGTGTTGGTCAGCTCAAACAGCCGCAGGGATACCTGGAAAAGCGAGAGGAAGGAGAGGTGTGGGGGGGGTGGGTGGGAGAGGAGGTGAAGAGAGAGAGAGAGAGAGAGAGAGAGAGAGAGAGAGAGAGAGAGAGAGAGAGAGAGAGAGAGAGAGAGAGAGAGAGAGAGAGAGAGAGAGAGAGTTTAGTGGGCATGTACTCGTCAGGCATGAAATTCATGAATGCAGTAGGAATGAGTCTCGGAGGGTTACCTTATGGTTGAGCTTTAACTAGGATATGAGGGCAATGCATCGTGCAACGTGGTGAGAGGATGGGCGGTGAGAGGAAGCGAGTTGGCAGAAGTGTGAGGAGATGGGTGGTGGTGGAAGGATGGATAGTACGGAATGCAGGATGCACATGCAAAGGAGACAGGCAGGCTGGCAGACATGGGGGATGCCTAGGTTCCAGGGCGCAGAGTGCAAGAGCGCAAGGTGCAGAGCACGTTTTGAGACGTCTCAAAACTCCAGAACGCAGAGTGCAAGAGCGCAAGGTGCAGAGCACGTTTTGAGACGTCTCAAAACTCCAGAACGCAGAGTGCAAGAGCGCAAGGTGCAGAGCACAGGGGACAAGGGGGGGGGGGGGTAGTGGGGAAGGGGTGAGAGGCCGGGTGCGGGTGCGTACGAGGATGTAGACGGCAGTGGAGAGCATGAAGTTGACAAGGGGGTAGTCGCGCACAAAACTCAGCAGCATGGCTGGCTGGCCGTTGGGCATGCCCGTCCTGAGAGGGGGAGAGAGGGAGGAGTGAAGGGAGTGGGTTGAGAAAGAGAGAGAATGCGAGTGGGAGGAGAGGTGAGCATGGGGAGGGGGAGGGGAAGGGAGAGAGTGTGAAGGGAAAAGGAACAGGACGAGCAAATGGAAGGGGATGATAAGAAGAACTGTAGGGTGGTAGGGGACTAGGGTTAAGGGACTAGGGTTAAGGCACTAGGGTTAAGGGATCAGGGTTAGGGGATTAGGGTTAAGGGATTAGGGTTAGAGGGCCTACGCATCATGCAAGCGGACTCCTCGTTTAAACAATGCAATGGTATCACTACAGACCCTGTATGGTACGATGCGGAGCGGTGCAATGCGGTACCTGAGCCAGATGTGGAACTGGCCAATGTAGGTCTCGAGGGTGATCTTGCCGAGCCAGCCAAAGAGCGCCAGCGACCAGTTTCGCAGAGGCTGGGTCAAATTGCGCAGCGCAATGTAGATGCTGCAGGCAGGGTGGGTTAGGGGTGAGAGGAAGAAGGGAAGGGAAAGGGTTGGTACGAGTTGACTTTTGAGTCGACTTAAAAGTCATCTCAGATTGCGCAGCGCAATGTAGATGCTGCAGGCAGGGTGGGTTAAAAGAGGGGTAAGAGGAACAAGGGAAGGGAAAGGGTTGATGCGGGGCAGGGCTGTTGAGAATTGTAGAGAATGATCGTGATAATATGCAGCGGCTGGGGTTGGAGGAAGAAGGGATGGGGGGGAAAGAGGAGGGAGGGGGAGAGGGGGCGGGGACAGGGGTAGCGGTGGTGGGTGCGGGGGTGGGAAAAGGGGGGAGGAGAGTGAGGAGAGGTAGGATTCAGTGTGTTGGGGATGGACGAGTGCCAGTGTTGTGGTGAACTGTGCTGTGGGATTGGATGTGGGATGGTATGGGAAATGAAGCGTTGAGAAAGGGTTGAAAAGAGGGAGGGAGAGGTAGGGAAAAGAGTGAGCGCAGGAGTAAAAAGAGACTCACGTGATGGGGATCCAGGATGTGTATGGATGGATAGCGTTGTAGGCGAATTTGTCCAAGCAGTAGACGTTCACATACCACACATAGCCCACCTGCACAAACATGTGCAACCATGCATCCCGTCATCCACACACACACATGCATTGCCATGAGCACACGCATACCCATGCACAAACAATACCCATGCACGGAGGCAACATGAGGAGGAAACGGACATCTGTCAGCAGTAGCACAAGCAGCAGCGTGCTCTGAAAAGTCTCAAAACCCAGCAGCAGCATGAGCAACAGGACTTCTCAGACAGTCTAGAACCTCTCTCCACTCTCCCTCTCTCTCCCTCTCCCTCTCCCTCTGTCCCTCTCCCTCTCTCTCAAGCGGTCCGTGTATTAGATCCGAGCAAGGTACAGACATGCACATCCTGTCCCTCTCCCTCTCGAGCGGTCCCTCTCTCTCTCTCTCTCTCTCTCTCTCTCTCTCTCTCTCTCTCTCTCTCTCTCTCTCTCTCTCTCTCTCTCTCTCTCTCTCCCTCTCTCTTTCTCTCCCTCTCTCTTTCTCTCCCTCTCTCTTTCTCTCCCTCTCTCTTTCTCCCCCTCTCTCTTTCTCTCCCTCTCTCTTTCTCCCCCTCTCTCTTTCTCCCCCTCTCTCTTTCTCTCCCTCTCTCTTTCTCCCCCTCTCTCTTTCTCTCCCTCTCTCTTTCTCCCCCTCTCTCTTTCTCCCCCTCTCTCTTTCTCCCCCTCTCTCTTTCTCCCCCTCTCTCCGTCTCTCATACAGCATTACACTCGCTTCACATCACATCCTCTTATGCCTTGAGGTTGCACCGGCCACACATCCCCGTCCATGTACCCGCCCACTCCTTCCATGTGCGCAATCATCTTTCAGTGTTCACGTCTCTTGGTACGTTCCCTTGTTGAACCATGCAAAAAAAATCATGCGTTCTCAGTTCAGAGCACTTACGGTTCATTCAATCTCGACACGCATGTTCAATTCCGTCATGTTCAGTGACCAGGGCAGGGTCTCGAACTAATTTGGGGTACAGACCATGATGCACTCTGCACTCTGCATCCCATGGTGTGGCATGCATGGCACATGCTGCACACATGATGTACAGCATGGCATGGCATGGCATCCCCCACATACCGAGAGGCAGACAGCGACAATAGCGGCGCGGATGGCGTTGCGGGTCATGTGGTGCATCTCCTCGAGCTTCTCGAGCCAGCGCTCGACCATGGGGTGGAAGTAGGCGTAGATCATGCCAATGATCCAGATGTACCGGTCCAGCCCCGACCGGAAATGCCACTCGTGCAGCAGCGGCAGGTCCGGCTTGCGCGGGTCGATGTAGCCTGGGGGGAGGGACAGGGGATAAGGATGGGAGGGGGGAGAAGGGGAGTGGGAAGAGGGGGAAAGGGGTAGAAAAGGAGAAGGGGAGAGGGTGAGATGGGGGGGAAGAGCACATGGGGAGGTGGAGAAAAAGGGGATGGCGTTGCGGGTCATGTGGTGCATCTCTTCGAGCTTCTCAAGCCAGCGCTCGACCATGGGGTGGAAGTAGGCGTAGATCATGCCAATGATCCAGATGTACCGGTCCAGCCCCGGCCGGAAATGCCACTCGTGCAGCAGCGGCAGATCCGGCTTGCGCGGGTCAATGTACCCTGGGAGGCGGGACAGGGGATACGAGGGGAATGGGGCAGGGGCGGAGGAGGAGATGGGGAGGGCGAGAGAAGGTGGATGGGGGGGAGGAGGTTCGTTTTCAGGGGGATGGGGCACAACGAGAGACGGGCTGGGGAGGAGGGTGGGTGAGGAGAGAAAGGTATTGTAAGCAGTAGGGGGCAACAAAACGGCCACGAGCCAAGGCCAGGGGGAGACGAGGTGGGGAAAGCAAAAGGGGAGGAAGGGACGGGTGAGAGGGCGGAGGCGGATAGCGGGGTGGAAAAGTTGACAGGGAAAGGAATGTGAGGTAAGTGGGTTGCCTTTGACAAAATCTCTGACATCCTCTCCCTCCCACCCCGACACCTTTCCTCCTTTCGTTTTATTCTTCTCTCCCTGCTCCACTCCACCCCGCTTCTCACCCCTCCTTTCCCACACGTCTTCCTCCCACCCTCCCTACTCTTTCCCCCAACCTTTCCCCAGCGCCCCTCTCACTCGTTCCCCTAAAAAAAAAGCGCCACTCTTCCACCCACTCACCCATGAGGAAGGTGAAGGGCCCCCACACGAGCTCGAACACGCCCTGAACCTCCCAGAGCAGGAACACCACAACGAAGCAGATGCCAATCTTCATCCCAATGACAGCAGGCAGCTCGTTGTACTTGCTGTAGATGCCGAGCGCGGCGTAGACCATGACGGTGAAGAGCGTGTGCATGGGGCAGATGTAGTACAGCATGTAGTCGTTCGTTAAAGCCAGGCAGCAGAAGAAGACGAGGAAGTTGAGCCGCCACATCATCTGGAAGGGGGGAGAGGGGGTGTGGGGGGCGCAGGGGAGGGTGGCAACAGGGATGGGGGGAAGGGGGGGGCAGGCGGGAAGAAGGGAGTTAGAAAAAAGGGTGGAGTGGGGGTGGAAAGTTGTACCACCACATCATCTGGGGGAGTGGAGGGGGAGGAGTGGGGGGGGGATGCAAGAGAGCGGGACAGACAGAGACGGGGTGGGAGAGGATAGGCTGGAGGATGGGAGCAGGGGGGAGAGGGAGATTTTGGTGCCAATAATGACAGGGCGCTTGTTGAGTGGGATATTTTTTCAAAGCACAAAGGGGAGGAGAGACTACGAAGGATACAAAGAAGCTTCGCGCCAGGAAAAGGGGAAGGGTGGGAGGGAGAAGAGGAGTTGGATGAAAGGGTGTGTAGGCAGAGCGAGATTCTGGTGGCAATTTAGTCGATCAGCTTGCTACGGTTCCCCCTAACCCCTGCCCCTACCCAGCCCCACCACACTAGCAACAAAGGAAGAAACATTTTTTACACGTGCCAGGAAGGGGTAGGGACGGCAGGGACGACAGGAGGACACAATGGGCAGGGGCGGGCGGCACGGAGGGGATGGCAGAGAGGAAAAGGCAGGGTAGGCAGGGTTCTGACCTGGCAGAAGCGGCCGAGGCCAAAGTCCTTGCGGACATAGTAGTAGGAGAAGTTGCCGAACCCCGTCATCCACACGTAGGCCGCGATAAAGAGGCGGATGGAGTTGTAGATCTCACGCGCCTCCCAGTAGTGGTACATGAGGAAGATGATCTGCGGGGCGAGGAGGGGGAGGGGAGGACAGGGGAGGACAGGGGAGGGCAGGCAGGGGAGGGAGGACGGGTGGGGGAGGACGGGCAGGGAGGACGGGAAGAAGAGGGAGTTAACTTATCTCGCGCACCTCCCAGTAGTGGTACATGAGGAAGATGATCTGCGCGGCGAGGCGAGGGAGGGTGTGTAGGGGAGGGCAGAACGGGGAGGGCGGGCAGGGGGGGATGGGCAGGGGCGGATGGGCAGGGAAGGATGGGTAGGGGAGGATGGGCAGGGGAGGATGGCAAAGGGAGGATGGGCAAGGGAGGATGGGCAAGGGAGAACGGGCAAGGGAGAACAAGGGGAGCAGGGAGGTAAAAGTTGAAAGGGGAATAAGGGGGTTGAGCGACTGATAGAGCAAGCAGGGAAGGCAAGGACGGTGCGAATTGGGCGAGAGGGAGAGGGTTCAGGGTATTGAATGGTAGCCAAGCGAAGAGGAAGGGGGAGTGGGGGGGGGAGTGGAGGGGAAAGGGAGGGTGACTGACTGTCTGTCTTGCAAGACACTGCACGCACGAAAGATGTTGGACGAATGGAACATAATACCAACGATGATCGAGAACGTGGTGGCATATGGATGGAATGGCATGGCATGGCAGCACAACATGGGACGCCCGAAAAAAACCCATTTGGAGGGTGTGTTGAGGGGAGTGAAGGGGGGGAAAGGAGGAAAGAGGGGAGGGGGAGGGGAGGGAGAGGAAGGGGGAGGGGAGGGAGAGGGAGGGGGAGGGGAAAGGGGAGAAGAGGGGAGTTCACGTGGTGTGTGGGGGGAACCGCACCTGCATCCATCCCTTCCACTCCTCCGTCTGGTGGCGGTTGAGGTATTGGATGGACTTGCCCGTCGCCAGGGACGCGCCCGTGTGCTTCGTTAGCGATGTGAAGAAGCACGTCAGCACCAATAGCGCGTACAGGAAGATGAACAGGTCCCGGCTGTAATGCTGCCGCGTTGGATGACGGCGAGGGGGGGGGATGCAATGGGTACCAAGTGGTACAAAGGGGTGGAGATGGAAAGGGAATGAATATGCAATCAGTATGAATGAAGAATAGGAGCGACTATGTTTGAACATGTGGACGAATTCCACGAGTGAGGGACAAGGGGGGCGTGAAATCAGCAAATCGGCAGAAAAACCTCACAAAGCAAGGGATTTGACGGGTAACCCTACCTTGGTGGATTCGCCGAAGATGTCTGTGCGATCGCAGATGAAGTAGTAAAGAATCAGGCCTCCAAACTCAGCACTGCAAGGCCAACAGAGCGAGAGTTAGCAAGCACGTTGAACCCAGTCACGACCGACGGAGTAACTAGAGAATTTGTTTCCCTGTTGTACTTTTTCGTAAAGCGAATTAGCAGTTCGTAGGCGCACCGACTCTACTGCGGAAATTGATCAAGGACGCGGAGTAGTCCGTCCGAGGATCGTTCACAGTGACATTATGTGATTGTAAAGCGGGTAAATTGCACTGTGTGAGATTAAAACCTATCTACTTGCTACCAAACGAGAGACGCACATGGCGCGAAGGGTGAGGCGGTTGTCGAGAAGAAACGACTCGTTCATGGTGAGGAACCTGCGGATGGGATCATGGGAGGGAACCAAACCAACCAACCAAACCATAAAGCCGCATCATCATCAACGCCAGAAGCACTCAATGTCAGTGTCAGTACCAGCGCTGGCACGAGCGCATGGCAGATGCGCTCTCGCAAACAGCGAGGTGGATTTAAACAACGACGTGAACACACGCTGGGGTGAGAGGAAAAGCGAGAGCGGGAAGGGGAAAGGAGGGAAGGAATCATCCAGATTCTCACATCACAATCGGTCGGTTCTGTTGAGTCATTCCCTTTCGCACAACCCCCACTAGATCCGTCACATCGATTTTCAATGGCAATTTATCAAACGGGGGAAAATTCACACATCCGACTAGGCTATGATTTACTTTTCGCGCTCACCGGACTATGTATTGTCGCACGATGCCGCCGATCGTGGTGGGTGTGGTATTAGCGAGCGCTCTGCTGCTGGGCGTTCCTGGTGACGCATCGACGAGCGGCGTCGACTCCTCGTCTGTAGGCTTCTTCTCGTCATCCGCATGGCTGAAGACGGAAGGGAAAAAAGAATGAAGGGAAGAATGAAGGAAAAAAAGAGACGGAAGAAAGTCAAGTATGGGGTAAAGATGCGAAAATGGAAGGATCTCGAGAATGGATCCATATGCCTTGGGTAAAGACACGCGCCGATTACGATTTCCGGTAGAATTATAAAACGATAATCGTTTGACATGTGTTCAGCTTTGGTACGTTAGCTGCTGAATAAGAGCAGCAAACGTATCACAACCAGGACCGACTGTCGGCGAAATACAGTCGACACCTTCGCAAAAGTAAAAGCAAACCTGAAGGGAGAGCACGAGAAAGAAATACAGGAAAGGAGGCTACGAACGAGCGCAATTACGGGCAACGATCTCGTGAGTAATCTTAATCTAGGACCAAGGATAGGCGGGCTTTGATCGATCCCCAATGCTGACATAAACAAGACGAGCAATTCAGGGCGGGATCGCAGCAGCTCGACGTGCGGGTGATCAGAAGCTAATGAGATGAACAAATGAAAACGAGATAAACGGATAGACTCGGTCACGCATCGTGCAGCGAGGACCACAGCTTGCACGCATCACGCCGAGGTGAAGCGGATAAACTTACGCTTTTGGACGACTGGACTTGTTGTATTCGAGATATTCAGCGTAGGCCCAGTAGGACAGCAGTTGAATGTATCCAAGTAGACATGCCACCTGAAGTCCAAATAGAAAAGGTCGCCCAAAGACAGCAGGAGAAAGTGGATTTAAGCGGGGCGAAAAAACTTGGACCGGCAAAGAGACAAGGTTCAGTGCGGAGGCAACACACGATATGAGCAGCAAAATGGCGGGTGGAGCCGAAAGCAAGTCGAGCAACAAGGAAATGAATGTGCGGCCCCAGAAACAGACATATGCGGCAAAATGTTTAGTCTTCAATTCTGACAGTGCAACGGATGAGGTTAGTTTTGCAGCACATAAAAAAGACGAGATCTTTAGGGCGGTGCATTCGCATGTTTAATAGGTAGACGATGCTCCAGTCATCGCATTCACCAGGAGTATGTTTGGACCGAGCTCACGCAAAGGATCTAAACAGATGCGCTTAGGAGTGACTTATTGAAACGCAGCAAGATAGCGGTCACGTACTTGGGCTGCTGTGATTGGCGTTAACAACTTCATCTTGCCGTCCCAGTCAACGCGCCTTGGAGGGAAGCCACGTGTGCTGACCTTCCTGGTAATACGAAGCTCAACTCGGTGCTAACTTGGAATCGAATAACAATTACGCTACCTTGACTTGGTCACCTAATCTCCACAGCCTCAACCCCAGGGTGCTCCGCTCTGTGAGCGAAGGAAGCAAACGTTAGGTGGAGGCGATGGGTGAAATGCAATCTGTGATGGCACATAAGCAATGGCCAATGAGTGATTGATGAATTGATGAACTAGCAATCGTCCCTCAACTGTTCTTCAGAGTTGCTGAATCCTCCTCCAGTTCCTCATATGGGAGGAGAGACTTCACCTCTCCCACCAACCCCAATGCGTTCTGCTCCCGTCCATCCTCAAACTCTGTGCACCTCATCGCATCTCATTAAGCCCTGTCAAAACGCATCACACCCAGTCTCACCTCTGCCTGCGGCTTGTCGTGGCTTGTCATTGACACCTCGGCTTCGCTAGTCCGTGCGTGGCGGTGGTTGAGTGGACGATCCCTCTTGCCTTGAGACCGAGTGTGGCATCCTCCCACACAAGCGGGTTCGGAATTGTGATTCTGTGGCGAAAAATGCTTGCCGAGGCTGTGCTTCGACGAGTCGAACCTATTAGATTAGGCTCGAAGGTACACTCAGCTTTCCGAACAAGGCCGGGGACGGGCGTTCTCACAAGGTTGTTGAGGTATTTCCAGCCTGTGTGAGATCATCGGGATTCGGTAGAACGTATGGGGTCTGGTTTGGACGAGAGGCGCTGCGCCGTGGCTTGGTTCGGCAGATTCAGACAATGGCTCGCTGAATTTTCGCCTGCCTTTGGGGCTTGCCAATGCCTCTGGTCTGGTGACCTGCGCGGGTGTGCGAGGAAGTCGCTCACTTTCGTCACCACATCAAACCATACTTTCTCCCAAGCCTCCTAAGGTTGTGGTAACTGTTGGACTGTGCTTGCAGTCCCTCTTCTCTCATGGGTGCAGCTGTGCTTTCACATTTTGGGCTTCGAGTCGCAGGGTGAAACTGTTGGGAGAAACCCAGGTGTTCGTTACTGGATGATTCAAAGGCGACATCTCGTAGCTGAGATACGGTAATGGAGTTACCAATTATTCAAAATGTAATGAGTACTAGTATAATCAAATTGCAGGAACAACTGCAAAAGTTAACAGTCAAAATCATGAAGTAAATAATTGAAATGATAGTGCATACTAATCTGCAGAAAATCACCCAAAAAAAAACTCACTCAAACACACGTGACATCTTTCAATATGGATCATTTTTTGCATGGTAACAATTCCATACATCTTTTCAGTACGTGTGCAATGGCCCCTTGGACGCGCCTGACGATGCGGTGTTTATCGCCTTGGTGTGCAACAAACCGGTGTGGTTCATATCATCCATGGAGGCAGCAGGCAAACAGGTGCAACTGCTTTCCTTTGTCAGAATCCCAACCATTATACCATTGGGATAAAATGGCTTGTTGAGTAGCAAGTTAGTGCGCCCACAACCCCCCAGGCCAACATGCATGTAACCCTTCCCTAGGATCAATCGGGGATCACCAATGGACCTCTGACACCCCCCCGCGCCGGGATGCCCGAAGTGCACACACTGGGATTCGAACCCGAGACCTTCGCTCTGATACCATATCAGAATCCCAGTCACTAACCACTGGGATAAAATGGCTTGTTTGTGTAGCGGCTCAGTGCGCCCATAACCCCCCAGGCCAACATGCATGTAACCCTTCCCTATGATCAATCGGGGATCACCGGTGGAACTCTGACATCCTTGGCGCGCACCAAACAAATTGATACACTTCTTTGCATTCGCGTGCAATGGCTCAGGCGAGCAATCATTGCTAGATTAATCAATTGCACTCGTAGCGCGCGTCTTGTTACGGGGTACTTGTCAGTAGAGCTACACTGTGAGATCCCCGATCGATCCTAGGGGGGGGGGGGGGTTACAGGCGCGTTTGCCTGGGGGGTTATGGGCGCACTGACCCGCTACTGAAACAAGCCCTTTTATCCCAATGGTCTAGTGGTTGGGATTCTGACATGGTATCAGAGCGGTCTCGGGTTCGAATCCCGGTGTATGCACATGTTGGCCGTTGCCACTATGCTCAGTCCTGGGCCTCCCAGTGTGGGGGGGTGTCAGTAGAGCTACACTGTGAGATCCCCGATCGATCCTAGGGGGGGTTACAGGCGCGTTTGCCTGGGGGGTTATGGGCGCACTGACCCGCTACTGAAACAAGCCCTTTTATCCCAATGTTCTAGTGGTTGGGATTCTGACAGTACTTTGTTATTCAATGGCTCCATCCATCCTGTTGAAGAGGTCACGTGCTGCTTGTGACGGTGCGTACTGTTGCGCACATTCGCGAGCAAGACGCACATCCTTCAGCATTCATTCGCGAACCAGGAACTCCATGTGCGTCATAGCATCCCCATGGCAGCTGTGTTTATATCTGCAACGAGTATGGCGGCTGTCAGAATCTCAACCACTAGACCATTGGGACAAAATGGTTTTTTAAGTAGCGGGTCAGTGCGCCCATAACCCCCCAGGCCAACGTGCCTGTAACCCTTCCCTAGGATCAATCGGGGACCACCAGTGGACCTCTGACAGCGGCCTGCATGGTTGTTGTTTCGCGCATGCGTGGTTGCTTGGATGTCAGAGTATCTTGGGCAGGCATGATTATATAAAAGTGTGTTTGCTATGAGTAAGAGGCAGTTCGAGGATGTTAGAGACATGTGTTATATGTTTCTTGTTTGGAATACTATTCATATTACTACTTCGGACATCATGCTTGACAGTTGGGGTTCTCCTTCTTAATGTGCGCGACAAAGCGCGCCTAGTATTCGGCGCCTTGCTTATCCTTTAGCGGTTTCATCTCGTTTGAACCATCGGTCCGCAACAAAGATCGCGTTCTCATGTTTCGACCAGCCGGTCTTATCGCACGGAGCATCCACCTACTTCTTCGCCAACCTGCGCAGCTTATTAATTGCAGTTGCCTCCCACGCAAGCACACGACACACTCATGAAGGCCCGACCCGAGGCGTCTGCGATGGTAGTGCGTCCGGCGCGACATATCCTTCATGTGCACGATCACTCGCGATCTGGTCATTCATCCAGCGTATGTAAGGTATTTGGTTGCGATCCGCTGAGCACATATCGCGCTCACCGCGGTCAGCGCTCTTACGCTTATGAGCCATGGTGGTCCCTTTATACTTTAAGGACAAGCTAATGCAAAAGTCACAATTGCGTCTACTGTATGCAGTTGCTCTATAAGAAGGGGGAAGATATGCACAACCCTGGTAAGGTGGAGTTGGGGGTCAGAAGACTAAGCGAGAATGAGTGAACTATGAGAATGGTGGGTACAAGTGCTAACCCTAATTGGGTTGTACCCCATTAGGGTTACCCCACTACAGCCTACACAACACACACAATATCATAGTTGGGTATTGGGAACGGGAAGGGGAGCGAACATTTCATTTTGGCGGCAAAATTGTTTTCTTGCATGATCAAACTTGTTTCCTCGTTTTCGTGCTGGAAATAGGCCGCGAAGGGACGTTTGGGTTTCGCACGTGTAGTTTATAACACGAGGGGTGGCCAGATGCATTGCATGGTGGCCTTGACATTTCAAACCGTGTGCGATGGTCGAACACCGACGGGGCTGAATGCAACTCGTCCGCGACAGTAGCATGATTTACGTTAACCAAGGTAAAATATAGTACAAGTCGCACGCGGGCGGTGTTGTTAGTAGTCCTGCAGTGTGAGATTTCCGATTGATCCTAGAGAGGGTTACATACATGTTAGCCTAGGGGAGTTCCCGCATTTGGAACAAGCCCTTTTATTCCAATGGTCTAATCGTTGGGAATCTGACATGGTGTCAGAGCGGTCCCGGGTTCAGATCCCAGTGTATGCACATGCAAGCCGTTGCCGAAATGTTTAATCCTGGGCTTCCCAATGTCGGTATCAAAATAGTAGGTGTGGGGCCTAGGCTTAGTAGCCTAGGCCCACACTAGGAGGTAGTTGAGTTTGCTCTAGACTAGGAGTTAGGGTTTTGGAAGGAGAATTGGAAGGAAGGAATGAATGAGACTAGCAAGCAGCAGGACACACAAATAGAAAACCCTAAAGGGTTGTACTCAGTATTGAGCACCCCACTGCAGGCTACATAAATAACATTCTGACACACCCCCATAGCCAAAGTGGGGTGTAATCAGCAGAGCAGGCAAAGCAGTACAAGCTCAGGGTGGATCACAATGTCACCACACATTCTGAGCACAAGTTAAAGAAGCAATAGTTTAAAGTTAAGAATTATGAGCAAAGCTAGTGGTAGTCACAATGGGTAAGTGAGGAGGAGGAGAGAGAGTGAGGGGAGAGGAGATAGGAGGAGACGGCTGAAGCTGCAGACACACGGGCAACAGGAAACAGACTGGCACAGCGGCTACCGGACAGCGCCCGGACTACAGGAGTAACAGGCCCCGCGGCTCAAGTAGCGGCAGACGGGCAACGGACCCACGGGCGGCTGGCGTAGAAGTCTAGCTCACTGGGCTACCGGGACAGCGCCCCGGACTACAGGTGCTGCGGACTACAGTACGGCAACTTCCATGCAGCTTCCCCAAACAGTCCCACCCCCCTGACACACACCCGTTGCTACACCGCTAGCTCCACTCCCACGCACCCCCCTTAAGCCCTAAACCCCAGTCTCCCACACAACCACCCCCCTCAGCGACAGCTGCAGCAGTGGGAGACGAAGGAGGAGGAGCAAAGGGAGGAATGCACACCAGCCACCCCCATACCCGCAAACGGGGGGGGGGGGGGGAGAGCAGAAACAGTGCGCACGAGGGCGCGAGCATGAGGCACGAGCAGCACCAGGCACAAGCAGCACAGGCACGGGCGGCACAGGGCAGCACAGGCACGGGCAGCATAGGCACGGGCAGCACAGGCACGGGCAGCACAGGCACGGGCAGCACAGGCACAGGCAGCAACAGGCACAGGCAGCACAGGGCAGCACAGGCACGGGCAGCAACAGGCACAGGCAGCACAAGCACGGGCAGCACACGCACGGGCAGCACAGGCACGGGCAGCACAGGCACGGGCAGCACAGGCACGGGCAGCACAGGCACAGGCAGCAACAGGCACAGACAGCACAAGCACGGGCAGTACAGGCACGGGCAGCACAGGCACGGGCAGCACAGGCACAGGCAGCAAAGGGCAGCACAGGCACGGGCAGCAACAGGCACAGGCAGCACAGGCACGGGCAGCACAGGCACGGGCAGCACAGGGCAGCACAGGCACGGGCAGCAACAGGCACAGGCAGCACAGGCACGGGCAGCACAGGCACGGGCAGCAACAGGCACAGGCAGCACAAGCACAGGGCAGCACAGGCACGGGCAGCACAGGCACGGGCAGCACAGGGCAGCACAGGCACGGGCAGCAACAGGCACAGGCAGCACAAGCACGGGCAGCACAGGCACGGGCAGCACAGGCACGGGCAGCACAGGCACGGGCAGCACAGGCACGGGCAGCACAGGGCAGCACAGGCACGGGCAGCAACAGGCACAGGCAGCACAGGCACGGGCAGCACAGGGCAGCACAGGCACGGGCAGCACAGGCACAGGCAGCAACAGGCACAGACAGCACAGGGCAGCACAGGCACGGGCAGCAACAGGCACAGGCAGCACAAGCACAAGCAGCAACAGGCACAGGCAGCACAGAGCGTACCGGGTCCAGGGGCGGCTTCTGGGGTCCAGGGGCGGCTGCTGCAGGGGCTGCTGCTCCAGGGGCCAGGGGCGGCTCCTGCACGGGCGGCTGCTCCAGGGACCAGGGGCAGCTGCTGCCGCAGGCTCTGGCGGCGGCTGCTGCTGCAGGCTCGGTGGTGGCAGCTGCAGCAGGCCTGGCGGCGGCTGCTGCTGCAGGTTCAGCGGCGGCTGCTGCTGCAGGCTCTGGCGGCGGCTGCTGCTGCAGACTCTGGCGGCGGCTGCTGCTGCAGGCTCTGGCGGCGGCTGCTGCTGCAGGGGTGGCCGTTGCAGGGGCTGCTGCTATTGGGGCGGCTGCTCCTGGGGCTGCTGCTGCGGTGGCGGTTCCAGGGGCTGCTGCTGCAGGCTCTGGCGGCAGCTGCTGCTGCTGGGCGACGGCGGCTGCTGCTGCAGAGCGGCGGCGGCTGCTGCTGCTGGTAGAGCGGCGGCCGCTGCTGCAGAGCGGCGGCTGCTGCTGCTGCAGGCGCGGTGGCGGCAGCTGCTGCAGGCCTGGCGGCGGCTGCTGCTGCTGGCCTGGCGGCGGCTGCTGCTGCTGGGTGGCGGCGGCCGCTGCTGTAGGCTCTGGCGGCGCCCCGCGGGTCCTGCACGGACGCCGCGACGAGCAGGGGCGACGCCCCGCAGGTCCCGCACGGACGTCGCGACAAGTAGGGCGGCGCCGCGCGGGTCCCGCACGGACGTCGCGACGAGCAGGGGCGACGCCCCGCGGGTCCCGCACGGACGTCGCGACGAGCAGGGGCGACGCCCCGCGGGTCCCGTAGGGTCGTCGCGACGAGTAGGGGCGACGCCCCGCAGGTCCCGCGCGGGCGTCGTGACGAGCAGCGAGGAGGGCAGCGCGCAAGCCCCCCCGAGGGCGCTTCGATGGACGGGAAAACCGCCGCGCGCCCCGAGCGCGCGGCGGGCAGAAAAAGCCGCCACGCGCTCGGAGCGCGTGGCGGGAAGAAAATGCAGCGCCGCGCGCCACGGGGCGCGCGGCGGACAGTAGGGCAGCGGAAGACGTTGGTGAGCCCGTTAAGCTAGGCGGCAGGAACATGCTCGCTCTAGATACCATATCAAAATAGTAGGTGTGGGGCCTAGGCTTAGTAGCCTAGGCCCACACTAGGAGGTAGTTGAGTTTGCTCTAGACTAGGAGTTAGGGTTTTGGAAGGAGAATTGGAAGGAAGGAATGAATGAGACTAGCAAGCAGCAGGACACACAAATAGAAAACACTAAAGGGTTGTACTCAGTATTGAGCACACCACTGCAGGCTACATAAATAACATTCTGACAGTCGGGGGGGGGGTGTCGGTAGACATGCGCTGTGAGATCCCCGATTCGTCCTAGGGGGGAAACATTCATGTTTGCGTGGAGAGGTTTGGGCGCATGGACCCCCATTTGGAAAAAGTCATTTTATCCCAATTGTCTAGTGGTTGGGATTCTGATATGTATGTTATCCTAACACATGGCAATATATGTTGGATTTACGTATCACAATCGTTTGTGACACGTAGATTCTGGACATGTCACGTCTGGAATATACAGTCACTAGAGGGACGGACCATCTCCAATGGAAATTGGTGCAGTTGCCAGTGGCAACTCGCATAAAAAGGTGGGATATGAATATGGACTGTCCCCAGCTTAGGTATGTAGTGGGTCGCTAGCTGGTGTGAACGCTTCTGAACCCGTCAGCGTACCAATGTAGATGATAGGACCTTGGAGCTGTTATCTACGATGAACGAGGTAGATGTTTTTTATCACCCGGCCGTGCTTCTTCTAGTGAAGCTTCGTAAAGTTTTGGTCTATATTCTCATAGATAACGGAGCTAGCAGCTCGTCGCATCTTTTCTCCTAGTTTGTCGTCTCCATCTCGAAGCGGATTCTACATACTAATTCACGAACACCCGTATGGTAGATCGGATGCCTGTTCACATGGGACCGATCATTTGCAAGTTGCGCGTAGAGTTATGCTTGATTTTAGTTTGACACAATCTTGACTCTACGATGCTATATGGCTACGAGTTGATCTCCGGTAGAGATTGGTTGCGGACAGTTAGTACTGAATCGTGAAATCTAACGTACCGTATTCCCCCGGATATAAGACCCCCCCCAAAATAGAACACCCCGGGGTAGCTAATACGGGGGGGAGTGTTTATTAAGCCTCGAAACCGTTATACCCCCCTTCTGAGGGGTGAACAATATAATACCCCCCCTTCCTTTATAGGGGGTTTTCCATGTAGATTTTCAATCAACAATTTAAACCGAAACATATTATGATGCGTAATTGAATTGTCTGGGGGTGAATTGGCAGAGACAGGGGGTGAATCTGCTGCGCCAGGGGGTGAATCTGCTGCGCCAGGGGGCGAATTTGCTGTGTCAGGGGGCGAAATTCGCTGCGTCAGGGGGCGAATTTTTTGCGTTAGAGGGCGAATTTGCTGGGTGATGGGGGGATTTAGCTATCAGAGGCGAATGCGTTGTGACGGGTCGAGGGTTTCCGGCAACGATGTGACTCGTCAAGTGTCATTCCAAGCGAACAACGATCCGCTCTCTTGTTGCTCGTCAAAAGCAAACCAGCAAGTTCAGTATTAACATTTGTGTTCAAAACACTGAAAAACAATTGTGTCATAAGAAAAAACCCGGGTAGTATATTTTTTTCCCTTTGTTAAGACTGTCAAATGTTGTAGCCTGTAGTGAGGTTTGTATTAGGGGGAACAGAAGTTAGGGTTTGTCATATGTACCCCAACCAACATCAATGCAACATCCATTCCTCATTTTGACATGGTATCAGCTAGGTTAGGATCCTGTGGGATCCCGTTCCTCCGTTCTCCGTTCGTACCTCCCGAGCCTGATCCTACCTCTCGTTCGTACCAGTTTAGTTGTTACCGCGCCTAGTACCGAGCCTAGCATCATCTCCCCCGTCGCGTCGCGCCCGTTCCCCCCGTCGCGTCGCGCCCGTTCCCCCCGTCGCGTCGCGCCCGTTCCCCCCGTCGCGTCGCGCCTGTTCCCCCCGTCGCGTCGCCCCCGCGTGTTCCCCCCCTGTCCCGTCGCGTCGCCCTGCCCTGTCCCGTCGCCCTGTCCCGTCGCGTCGCCCTGTCCCGTACCGTCGCCCTGTCCCGTCGCGTCGCCCTGTCCCGTCCCGTCGCGTCGCCCTGTCCCGTCGCGTCGCCCTGTCCCGTCCCGTCGCGTCGCCCTGTCCCGTCCCGTCCCGTCCCGTCGCCCTGTCCCGTCGCGTCGCCCTACCCCGTCGCGTCGCCCTGCCCTGTCCCGTCGCCCTGCTCCGTCGCGCCGCCCTGCCCCGTCGCGTCGCCCTGTTCCGTCGCGTCGCCCTCCCCGTCGCGTCGCTCCCGCCCTTTCCCCCGTCGCGTCGCCCTCCCTAGGCCCTAGCCCGTCGCCCTCCCTAGGCCCTGGCCCGTCGCCCTCCCTAGGCTCTGGCCCGTCGCCCTACCCTAGGCCCTGGCCCGTTGCCCTACCCTACGTTTTGGCCCGTCGCCCTAGCCCGCTCTTCCGCTGCGACTGAGTCCTCTTCCCCCCCGATTGTTACTCGCCTGTTCGTTCGCGTTGGTTCTCACTATGGCGACTCCGCGAGTTCTTCGTTTCGACGCTGACGGTAGACCCCTTGACTTTTCCGTCTGGCTTCTTCGCGCTCGTCGTCTGTTAGAGAGTCAAGTCCAGGGGGGCGAGACCCTCTGGTCACACGCTACTGGTGACCTCCCTGAGCCCCCCGAGCCTACCGCTTTAGGCCCTGCTCCTGACGACGCTGCTACGGCTCGCTTTGCCCGTCAGCGCGCTGACCGGACGGCTTGGACGTCGCGTGACGCTGCGGCCTGTATCGCACTTAGCAGCCTCCTCCCTGAGTCCGAGGAGGTCCACTTTACTCAGGTTCGCACCGCTGCTGCGTACCTCACTGCGATTAAGGCCCGCTACTCTACTCCCGCTACTGTCTCTCTCGGCCGTCTTTTCCTCCCGTTCCTGTTTCCTGATCTTGCCTCGTTTGAGCGCTCTGCTGACTTGATCGCTCACCTCCGCTCGCTCGACGCTAGTTACCGCGCTGCTTGCACTGAGGCACAGCTTGCACTGCTTCCCCCCCCCATGGCGATTACTGTCTATTTCATCGCCACTAGCCTCCCTGACCGCCTTGCCTCCGTTCGTGACGCGCTTCTGCTGAAGCACCCTAGTGAGCTGACTATCGAGGTCCTTGAGTCTGCACTCAAGGACGTCGAGAGCAACCTTCGTTCGGTAGCTGCCGCCTCTGGTACTGTGTCCCCCCCACTCTTCCACGGGTGCACAGTCCCGCAGTTACCCACCTTCACTGCCTCTCTTGCCACTGCCGCTACTGACGCGACTGCGGCTGCTGTTACGACTGCGTCGCGGTCCCGCGGCAGGGGGGGCAAGAAAGGTGGTTCCGGTGGAGGTGGAGGCGGAGGTAGCGGAGGTAGTGGGGGTGCTGTTGCGACTGGCGGTGGTGGGAGTGCAGCGTCTGGAGAGACCCCTCGTGCAGCGGCTGGTGACTCCACTGCACCTGCTGGTGGCGGCGACCCTCGAGCTCGTCAGTCGCCTCCTGTACTGCCGGCCCCGCTAGGTGGCGCAGCGGCGTGGTACCAGGCTCAGCGTCAGCAGCACCTTCAGCAGCAGCAGCAGCCCCTTTCCTCCCAGCAGCCTCAGCAGCAGCAGCGTCAGCAGCTGGCTCCGGGGTCGGGGCTGCGTCAGCCCCAGCGCGGTGCTGCTTACCCTCCCTGCCCCTACCAGGTTCAGACAGGTCCTCGTCGGGGCCACCCTTGTGGCCGCTTTCACCCCCCTGGTCAGTGCTTTGCTCAGCTCACTGACACGGTCCGGTTGACCTACGGGGTTGGCGGTCCTGCTCCTGACTGGCTTCCTCTGGTTCAGCGCCACGGCTCCGCTCTGTGGGGCATGTCTGCTGAGCAGTTAGTTGATCTGATTAGTGCTCCTCATGCTATGTATGCTGTTGTTGACTCTAGTGTTTCTGACTCTGTTTACTCTGGTGTTGTTAGCTTAGGTGCTAGTCTTGCTCAGTTGCCTGTTGCTAGTGTAGGTACTTGTGTAGACTCTAGACCAGCGACTACCTCAGAGGACGCTTCGCTGTCGTTCACACTGGACTCTGGAGCCTCCCACTGCTTCTTCCGGGACAGCACGACACTTACACCACTTCCTGCGCCTGTTTCTGTAGCGTTGGCTGATCCCACTATGGGACCAGTCACTGCACGTCACACTACCACTTTACCGTGTCCTGCTGCTCCCTCCGGGTCTCTCACTGGGTTTCACATCCCCTCGTTCTCCCGGAACTTGGTGGGCGTGCGACCCCTCGTGAGTCAGCACGTGGGTGTGTGGTTTGAGCCTTCTGGAGAGACTGCGGTGTGTGTTGACGGAGACTCTTACCAGCCTCTTGCTACCTTTACTGCTGAGCCGGGCTCCGGTCTCTACACTCTTCACACTGGCCCGCGTGCGCCGCAGCAGCAGCCGCAGCAGCAGCAGCAGCCGCAGCCGCAGCAGCAGCAGCAGCAGCAGCAGCACCAGCGGCCGCACCAGCAGCCCCCCCTACTGCCACTGCCCCCGGTTCCCCCCCCCGTTCGGGTCCCCGCGTCTCACCAGGTTGCTACGTCCCCCCAGGTGTCTGTGTCGTGTCAGGTTCCTACGTCTGTTCCAGTCGCTGCGTCGTGCTCCTGCCGGTCGCTTGCCCACCCCACCGTTCTGTGGCACCACCGGATGGGGCACCCGTCCCTTCCACGTCTGCGCGCTATGTCTAGTCAGCGTCTTGTCCTAGGCCTCCCACGTGTCTTGCCATCGCTGCCGCCTTCGCCTGCGCCGCCGTGTCGTCCCTGCGTCGAGGGTAGGCTGCGCGCCACCCCTCACTCCTCCTCCCTTCGTCCGGCCACCGAGCCTTTTGAGACGCTTCACTTGGACGTCTGGGGCCCAGCCCCTCGTCTAGGCCCTGAGCGTGAGCGTTACTTTCTGGTGGTCGTTGACGACTTCTCCCGCTACACCACAGTGTTCCCTCTGGCGAAGAAGTCTGAGGTGACTTCTACGCTGATCAGGTGGTTGCTCACCACTGAGGACACTCGTGGTCGTCGTGTCAGCTGTCTTCACTCCGACCGTGGGGGTGAGTTTCGCTCCGGCATTCTCGCTGGATTCTGTCGCGAGCAGGGCATTCGTCAGTCCTGGACGCTTCCAGAGTCCCCACAGCAGAATGGGGTTGCTGAGCGCCGCATAGGCCTGGTCATGGAGATCGCCCGCACCTCCCTGACTCACGCCTGTGCCCCCCATTTTCTGTGGCCCTACGCGGTCAGGTACGCCGCGCACCAGCTGAACCTCTGGCCACGTGTCTCTCGACCAGAGGTTTCACCGACCAGTCTTTGGACAGGGTCCCCTGGTGTTGCGTCGCGGTTTCGTGTCTGGGGGTGCTTGGCTCTTGTCCGCGACACCTCCGCGGACAAGCTCTCGCCTCGTGCCGTCCCCTGTGTCTTCCTTGGTTTCCCTGAGGACTCCTCTGACTTCACCTTTTACCACCCTCCCTCTCACCGGTTCTTTAACTCCCGTGACGTCCGTTTCGAGGAGTCCACTCCGTACTACGTCAGGTACCCTAGTCGAGGTT